CGGCCTGTACACTAGTGACTTGCGCTGGACACTTAGAGCGGGTGCCTTCTAAAGTGTTTTCCAAATGAACATACGGCTTGTGCGTGAGGAGCTGATCTAGAAACTGAGAGAAATGAAATCAGGCTCACAACAAGATCTGTACTTGTATTTCCACAGAAGACAGGAAGTGGTTTGAATGCCCAGCAATAAGATGATGGGTTAAGAAAATAAAATACTACTTGGCAATAAAAGATGAGTTAATGAAATACACATTTTTTTTATTTGTTTGTTGTTGTTGTTGTTTTTGAGATAGGGTTTCTCTGTGTGGCCATTGCTTTCCTGGAACTCACTCTATAGAGCAGTCTGACCTCATACTCACAGAGATCCTCCTGCCTCTGCCTCTCCAGTGCTGGGATTAAAGGCGAGCGCCACCATGCCCAGTCTTGCAACACGTATCTCGAAGAACTTTTCGAAATTCTTTAAGAAAGGGTCTGGCTTAACCACTGCCAGCTGGTGAGCCTGTAGTTTATTTCTCAACCCTTGCTAATGCAGAGCTTATCTTTTATCTCAGTGTTGACACATTCTGACTTTCCTGAGTGATCTGCATAGATACGCTGTCCACAGCTGGATGAACCCTGGTGTTAGCATGCCTGAAGGCCCATTCCCACACATCTGCGGCAGCACAGAATGCTGTGTAGCCTTCTAATCTGTGTAACTCCATGGTGAGATGCGGCAGGCCACTTCCCGTCCGGCTTGTATTTCCTTCTGAGCGAGGCTATATTTCTTTGTCTTTTGTAGAGATCAGTTATTTCTGAAGTCTCTGGCACCTGTTTTTCGTTTTCCTCGAGTGTTATTGGCGCCCTTTTCTTACTTATTCACACTGGTGTGAACTCCTAAGTGTTCAGTGTTCGGCAGATGGGATTCCTGGCCTCCTGGAGCTTGTGCTCTGTTGTAGGACAAAGATAGTAAACATACAGATGAATAATTAATGTCAGTTACAAGTGTCATGAACGAGGTCTTTAGACTTTATGAAAGGTGATAGCTTTGTTGATGTTTGGATAGGATGTGGTGACTAATAGTGAATTGGTAAGAGCTAGGTAGACCGGTGTTAGAGGGGAAGGTGTTTCAGGCCGCTAAGATACAGATGATAAGCTGGAAGAGGGAAGGGGTAATGCAGATGACCCAGTTTTTCTTCTCTTGTACTCAACCTTTGAAGTCTGCCATCCAGAACACGAGAAAATGCAAGGATCCAGGGTTATCATATGGGGGTTTAAACAAGTCTTACTTACACTCTCCACTAATACTGCACAAAAAAGGAGTTTGCATTCATTGATCTGATTAGCAAATACCTTCAGGGCATCAATTGCTTCTTTGGGAGACACCATCTTTTTTTACTTTTCCATTTGACTAATTTTGTATCTAAGAACGAAACCCAGTATGTCATCTTACATTATTTCATATTTCCCCCAATGCATAATTACAAATTCATCTCATTTTCTCCTATGAAATTAATTTGTGATTCTTTGAAGCTTGCTAAATGATGCATTGTTTGCTACTAAGTTGTCTGTAACAATTCCCCCATTAGGGAGGAAAGCTCTTTGAGTGTGCCCTTCTGTGTGTGACCAAATTGCAAATGTCTGTCTGATGAGTCTACATGGAGGGAGACATGACACTCACTAAAAATGACTTACAGCTTCTTGAGCATTGCAGTAAATTCTGAAGTGTAAAGTTCGTGTCTTGGGCAAAATGAGCAGCGACAGACACACTCAGCTCATTATTGATCAGTGATTTCCTTAAAGCGTCTTATGTGAAATTCCCCAGCATTGAAGTCGCAATGTGAGCTCTCTCTGGATAACGCCCTCTTCCAGGCAGACAGCCGCCACTGTAAAAACCCAAGTGATTTGAAAATTAGGGGCTAGCCCCTGGGCTTATGAATTTGCTAGACGTGGACCCTCCCCTTATGTTCTCATGCAGGGCTCATATTTTCTAGTTAAGATATGACATGTACATTGGAAAGTGGAGAGTTCGTGTGGCAGGCGTGCATTGTTTGTCTCCCTCTGCTTTTTACAGTAATGTTCCATTTGATGCTCTTCCACACTGGGGGCATGGAAGTGTCTTACTTAAGTAAACATTCCTGTAGATACAGGATTTCCCGCTATTTTCCTTTTCATAGTAAAGTCTAGAAAGCATGGTTACGCTGTCTTGTTAACCTTCATGTGACTGCAAGCAATGGTGATTTTAAGTGCGACACTTTTGCAGACTCCTCGTTTCGTTGCATTTGTTTTGTTCTTGTTGATAACAGTGAATGGTTGCGTGGCAGGTTATTTTGTCTGCTTCAGGAAGTATGCCTGTCTAGCCAAACCTTCCTGCATTTGAGAAACTTGGTTTTATAATCTGGTTTTTCCTATTCTTGTGGATGGTTCAAAGCCTCACACAGATGGTGACATGGAATAGGCGAATTTGCTAACCTGATTAGTCCTGTCTGTCTCCGTCGTAGTACTCAGGCGATGGCTGCGGGTTTAAGATTCCCGCTATTGTCTTCTGCTCAGTGTTTTGTCTCGTCTGGACAAACTATGCTAAGATAACTAAAACTGCCCTTTTTCTGACCTGCTCTTGTTCTGGCTGCTGCTTAGGTAGGATATCTTACAGGCATGCACGAGACACTGGGTCTCCATGATCTCAGCTTCCTCATGTGACCTTTCCTCCAGTCACTGAGGCGTATATTTTTAATGCCAGCGTTTGAGCACCCGCTTTTGTCTATTCTGCCACAGTTACGGCGACTTTAATACTTTTTATGAACCGTAAGGGCAGGTTTTGCTTGACCCGTTTCTGGATATTTTTCATGGATGTATTTCTCTTAACATTTCTTATCATCTTCCCACCTGACTTTTGACTTCCCGTCCATCCCGTTTCCTTCCCTTTCAGTCCGTGAAACTGATTTTTACCCGGGAGACTCTCCCTGATCCGACCCGCCATTGCAGCCACTGCTTCTGAAACCCTGCTGTCGCGGACTGGCCCAGTCTGAATTATGTCCCTGACTGCGGAGGGACTGACTTCTCCCTCCTCACTCCTGATGTTTATGAGCCTCGCCTAGTAAACATCTGGACATGGGGACGCTGTCATCTTTGCAGTATTGCCGGCCGGTGGTTGTTTCTTCTTGTCTCAACCATACCCTGATTTGTCACACATACGTTTTTATGAGCCTTATTTCCTCCTCTCCGGTATTTTCTGTCAGTGTTTACATCATTGAAACTCCGTTATAGTTGACTTTATCCTTATTGATTTATTTCGCATGTGAGCCTGACCCAATTTAAACTACTTGTTAATTGCTAATATTAATTGGACAGTTTCACAAACTGCACCTCAAAAGCGGGCTTCTCAGTGCTGGGAGAGTGGGGGCTGGCCACTGCTGTTCTCTGCTGCGTGTGTTGGCTGTGGGGAAGGGCCAGGCAGCAGAGAGGAATAAACAGGCCATTTTGGTTTGTGATAAAGGCTATGTTGTCTTACAGTGAGGAGGTAGAGGGGATGCTGAATTGCTTAGGAGCTCCTGGACACTCCCGGGTGAGTTTTACTTGGGCTGAGACACCAAGGTAGCTAGATAGACCCACGCAGGTCGACGAAGAGGGGCAGGATGAAATTGCTTGATAATGTTTTGTAAGGAACAGGCTGTCTTTCTAGCAGCCACCGTATACAGATAAGAATGAACTCAGAATACCTTCAAGTAGCACCCAAGACTCCCGAGGGAGGGGATGTGTCACTATCAAATGCGGCTGGAGAATCTCCCTGTTGTGTATAGTGTATAATGCTGCCCTCGGTTAACTGTCCTTGGAGAACAATCAGGCCTCTAGGACAGGAGTTTTTAGTGAAATAAACTGATATAAACCAAAAAAGGAAGTGTTCTATCTTTGGAATATTTTTTTTCCTTTCATTTCATTGTAGTTCTTACTAACTTGAAGTTTCTGTCTAGTCAAGCCCAACAAATAATTTGTTTTTAAGCAAGCATATCTGAAAATTTCCAAAACATGTTTCTTAGGAGAGTGAAATAATGGAATTGAAAGCATCCCACATTTGATTGGCAGGGATTAAACTCCGGTCTCTGCTTACATCTCAGGTTGCCAACCTCTGATTCTGAGGTTCAAAGGTCAGATCCGCGCAGCCTCTGAAGTGTGGCAAAGTTAGACATAAGGGTCAGGGCAGAAGAATTGACTAAATAAAAGCCCACTGTCCACAAGATGGGAGGGGTTCAGTAGTCTTGACCTTAATTGTGTTAAAAAATAAGCGAAGCTTTTAGAAATGCCAGCCTTTTTTTTTTTTTTTTTGGTCCTGTCTTGATGAACACTTATAAAATCTTCCTGGCTACGAACTTCCACACCTCTCAGATGGACAGTCTGTGATACCGGAAAAACAAAAGAAAAAAAGAGATGTCAGTGATTAACAATTAATGATCGCCATTTTGCACGGCGTTATTGAGAATGAATACTCCACCGACGACAGTAGTGGTATAGCTTTCAACAGTCCTTCAGAAAGGCCGTATTGCCCACATTTTACTAAAAACGAAGCTTAACTAGTTCCTTTATTGAGCTGTGTGCTAAATAACTTGAGAGTGTCCCATGAACAGGTAAATGCCGCTTTTTGGTACTGCCACATGGAAGCAGACACCGTCTTTGAAATGACCGCCTTCCAGGAAACACTGGGCATGTCGCCTGAGTAGAGCACTTGTTCCCTGCTCTGTGAGATGCACAAATCAACCCTGGAACTCCCAACATGAGGGGCTTTTGCTATTCTACTTTCATGGAAAACGTGTCCTGGGAAAATAAGTGTCACCCACGATCCTTTACTGTGGATACTTCGTCCCCGGGGGCCGGGGTTGAAGCTCAGTGACTTGTTTAAAAAGAAATGCCCACCTCACTTAGGTACAGGTCACTTGTAAAGGGTGATCTTAAATGTTTATTATGTATTTCAGTTTCTTCTCGGAACTTTGTTACTGTTGTTACCTTAACCTCTATTTATTTTCTTCCTAGTTTACTGCAGAGTGGTCAGCTGGAGATTGTGACAGGTGGCTGGGTTATGCCTGATGAAGCCACTGCACATTATTTTGCCTTAATTGACCAACTAATTGAAGGGCATCAATGGCTGGAAAAAAATCTAGGTATGTATTCTTGCCTCCCCCCCCCACTTTATTTAGGCTGTTTTAGGAATTTGCACTTAGGGAATCTGGGCTAATAGTCCTAGTAATTGTTGAATAATTTATTCTTCATTCATCATATTTATTAGGTTATTATTTCAATTACATAGACATATGATAATTCCATTTATGGCCATTGATCTTTCTTTATATCATTATTTTATTTATTGACTTGTTTCTTTTATTTAGAGGTTTACTATTTTAATTACATATTAGTTAAGACTTGATCATAGGAGGCAAAACCCTATTAGCTTAATCCAAAATGAGGGTGGGAGAGAAGAAAAAGTAGAGACATTCATTGTATCGAGGAGAATTCTGGAGATAGAGGTGTCATGGAAGCTCCAGGCATGGTTCCCAGGCGATGTAACAGGCATTGTGGAGAGTGTCTGCTCGGGCACGTCTTGTTTGTGTGTTATCTTTACCCTGGGCTTTCTAAGCACTGTGTGGGGAAGATGGCCTGAGGCAGCAGAAATACTCCCTCCCCCACCACCCAGTTCTGCCAACAGGATAAGGTGTTCTTCATATTTCATTGCATTGATCTAATGAGTCAGGCCCCTCTCACTGAGGTATAGACAGGACTTGTTCGAAGGTGGTGGCCTCCAGGAAGATAGAATTGTAGGTGGCAGTCAGGTAGTAATACTTGAACTGTGGTAGTTGGTCCTTTGTGTGCCTGGACCCATGGGGAAGGTCCATCTGGAGGAGGAGGCTGTTGGGCCGACACCATCCTCACCAAAACCTACAATGAATTGACATCTTCTTCTGCCTGATATGTGTATGGCATGAAGTTCTTTTCAGATATTTCGTATCTCAGTATACCTTTTACAGTTTTCTTTATGAAAAACATTCATGATTTTTTATTGATGTTATTTCTATGTATTTATTTATTTTCTTTGTTAGGGATGAAAATCCTCATTATTATAATGATTTCTTTCTTTTTATTCTCACAAGGTCTTTACTGCAAAGAAATCCTAGAAAGCTTCCCCCACGTACCACTTACTAACACCTTTTTTTTTTTTTTTTTAAAGTTTTTTTCTTTTCCCATACCACTGTTGTGGTGGATTGTTTTCCGAAGCTTAGAGAATACATTGTTGATTCTTCCTCTGTGACAATGGCTTTGTTCTAGCTGGGTTGGGATTCTAACTCAGAGGCCTAGCTTGCATCTGCCCTTGGCTGTGACTGGGCACGAGGAGCTTTTAAATGAGAATGACTTACTGCCTTTTAAAGTGTATTGTGTCTTTGCATTTGCTTCCTTCAGGACCCAACACCTTAGTGTGTGTGTGTGTGCGTGTGTGCTTGTGTGTGTGCATGTGTGTGTGTGTGTGCCTTAGTGTGTGTGTGTGTGTGCATGTGTGTGTGTGTGCCTTAGTGTGTGTGTGTGCGCGTGCGCGCGTGTGCAGCTCCCAGTGGGGAGCCTGGGCCCTGCATGTGTGATGAGTCAGTCCATGGCCTGTCACACATACTGTTAGAACCCGGTGCTAGAACTCTGTGTGTGTTCAGGGCAGACTCTTTGGAGCACACCAGGTTTCCTCCTCTGGAGTTGGTTCCATGCGCCTTTGATCTCTGTTGCTTTTACTCTGTCCTAAGTCACAGCTATGTGATAGCCTTCTAGACTCAAGTTTTAATGAGTCGGCAGACCTGGGTGATTGTGTGGAGATGAGGGGAAGCTTACAGACCGACACAATGTTCCCTTTCCTTAAATACTGAGATATGCCCTAAGCCAAGAGAGTCACTGGATAGAAACATGTCCTTGTCAGGGTTTCTACTGCTGTGAAAAAACACCATGAACAAAGGAAACATTTGATTGGGATGGCTTACATTTTTAGAGGTTTAGTCCATTGTCATCATGGCTGGGGGCATGGCTGTGTGTAGGCAGACAGTGCTGAAGAGGAGTCTACATCTTATCTTGCAGGCTACAGGGAGTGATCTCAGACTCTGGGTGTGGCTTGAGCATGTCTGAGACCTCAAAGCCCGCCTCCAGTGACACTTCCTCCAACAAAGCCACACCCATTCCAACAAGGCCACGCCTCCTAACGTACCACTCCCTTTGGGGTCATTTTCACAGCATACGCCTTTGTATCTAGTTTCTCTGCTCAGTTTAATTTTGTCTTATAACCTGATTGAGACAGGTTGACATATAATGAGGTGCGCTTGTTTAAAGCCTATAGCTTGGTGCTGTGTCTTGCTCACAGAGTGGCACAGTTGTCCCGTGATCTGTTTTTAGAATTTGTACTTATCTGTACAGCAAACCTCATCTCCATTAGCGACCACCTCTCTTGTGACTTCCCACCCTCTGTCCCAGGCTCCCACGAGCCTTTTTGAATATAAGCCCTGGGGATCGGTTCTAGAATTCCCCCACAGATATCAAAATGCAAGGTGCCTTCGATAAAATGACGTAGTGTGTATAGAAAACAACTACACTTACTTGTTCCCACACACTTTAAACCAGTCTCTATTATATTATGAAAAATGTACATGCTATATAAATATTGGTTAGGCCAAGACAAGGCTGCATGTTCTGGTCAGGTTCAGTTTTCTTCCCAAGGATGTCTGATTTCCTCATTCTTAGTCACTTGTGGTTTTGATGACATAGTAAGACGACACCGTCCAAACCAAGGCCTTGGGTTAGTTTTCTTTCTGGTGATTTCGGGGGTTAGGTTTTGTGTCTGTGATCCTCTTTCAGTTAGCCTGTTGTGTTTTCTTCTGTGCGGTGATGCCCCTTTGCCCTAACACCCCCGTTGAACTGTCCTGGCATTCTTGCTGACAGTGTCTGCCCTCATGCCAGTACCAGGCTACCTTTGTTATATAGTTGTGTATTAAATTTGATGTTCAGAAGCCTGATCATTCCAACTTAAAGGGGAAAAAAAGTCTTACTTAGATGACTTATATTTGTAGACCTACTAGCTGTGCTTGGGGGTGTGGCTTCGTAGGGTACTTTGCATGCGCAAGGCACTGGATTCAATTCCTAGCATCACATAAACTGGGCATGGTGGTGTACGTACCCCTGCAGTCCCAACACTCGGGGCGGAGGCAGGAGAATCAGGAGTTTGAGTCATCTTGGTCTACCTTAGAGTCCAGGCCGGCTTGGGATACATGAAGCCCTGTTGACTCAGTTGCTTGTCACTCTGGTTCCAGGGGTCTGTTGCGCTCTTCTGGCCTTCTTGGGCACTTCCTGCCAAGACAGGCAAAACACTCATAAATACAATGGAAATAAATGCATACAAGTTATGACTTTTGTGGGAATGTGTGGAATATATTGTCCAAACCAGAAACACTGTCATTAACCACATCAATCAACACACAATTAACCACACCGGTCCCTGTGACATGAACATGAGCTTTGTTTTCATTCATGAAGATCTCCGGTGTCACTCGGTAATGTTTTCATAGCTTCTACTTTTTGTTTCTCTGTTGGATTTGGTTCTAGCCTCTCTCTTTTGTTAGCTGCCCTTGCAAATGGGATTTACTTTCTGGGAGGTGTATATAACTCAGTGTGTTCATTTTCGTATAGCTATCTCGTATCTTTCCACCACCGTATAGCACTGGAGTGACTGGTTTTTGAGATTGGTTCTTGCCTATGTTGTCAGCTCACTCCTTTCCGTGGCTGAGTAGTGTCTGGTTTTTAAACTAGACCCCTGTTAAATGTCTGTAGTATGCTTTTAGATGGTGGCTGTATGACACAGGCTTTCATGCACACTTACATAGCAGCTCTTTGAAAAGCATGTGTCATTGTCATTGATAAGTACTGGAGTAGAATTGCTGGCTCCATTGTGTTGAACTTTGTAGGTACAGCAAAGCTTCTCAAAGTGCTTTTACCGTTGTACTCTCAACCAGCAACGAATTTGTTCCATATTTTTGTCAACATTTCTAATGCCAGTCTTTTCAAGTGACAATTTATCAATTTCAGTAGAGATAAAGTGATTTTATTTTTTCAACATGCATTTATTTCACAGCCAATGATGTTGAGTACATTTTTGTGTTTATTGCCCAGTATTTGCTTATTTTGAAGTTTTCGAGTCTCACCCTTTTTAATTGGGTTGTTGCCTTTGTGTGTCCTTTGTTCAGAATCTGAGCCATTTTACACACACACACACACACACACACACACACACACACAGTATATGAAAATTTTTCTACCATTTTGTGATTGTTCATTTGTTGTTTTAAGATTTTGTTACTCCCTCTCTTTCTGTGTATTCCCTGTGTGTGTGTGTGTGTGTGTGTGTGTGTGTGTGTGTGGTGTAGATGTGTGCAGATAGATATCTGTGTACCACAGTATGTGTATGGTAGTCAGGAGACAGCTTTCATGAGTTTGCAGTCTCCATCCATCATGAGTTCTGGGGGTTGAACGCGGATCATCAGGCTGGCACAGTGAGTGCTTTGCCCACTGAGGCATCTTGCCAGCCTATGTTCTTTTCCTTTTAGTGTCTCCTGTTGCTGTGGTAAAATACTCTGACGGTGCAGCTCATGGGAGAAAGGACTACTTTAGCTCACGGTTCTGTGTCGCAGTCCTTCATCATGGGCAAGTTTGAGGCAGCAGGTTGGCAGTTGCTTCCTTTGAAGGCACCGTAAGAAGAGAGCAGCGAGTGCCAACTTACGTTCGACTTACGTTGTCCACGCATAGCCCAGGTCCTAACATGCAATTAAGAGGTGCCTTCGCCATCAGTTATCCTAGTGGAGGCAATCCCCCACAGATAGGTCGAGGCCTATCACCAGGCAGATTTTAGAGTCTGGCAAGTCTACAATGAACGCCAGCCATGACAGTACCTTTCTTATTTCTTTTAAGTGTTTAATACTGGTATTTAAGACACCTTTTGATTTGTATGTCTGTGGTGAATTCACTTTCTCATCACAGCTAATATTTTATATAACTTATCAGATATAGTAAATATGTCCCACCTTAAAATGAAAACTATTAAAAATTGAAAGTTATCTGTTTAATAAGTTAGTATTTAGATCATCTATCTGTTTGCTTTATTCAAAACTTTTGCAGTAGTCACATTAACAGTGACACTTGCCTTTGTTATTACAGATGTTTAATGAAGTTGCTTAAAGATGCTAAATATTATATTGTCTATTATTTTATGTAGATATTTTTAATAGTGTTGAGAAAATTCTTTTTAGCACTTTTCAATTTGTAGTGTGTACTGCATTTCTTCCAGATATCTATTAAAGCTATGTGGGTTTTCTAATTTGTTCTGAGTGTGATGGCAGTTTGCTCAATTAAAAACTCATTGACTTCCAGAATGAGTCCCTTCTGGCTTGGGTGCTGTGGAGTTCAATCTGTGTAGTGATTTTCTGTTTTATGGTTTTTTGTATTTGTTTTCATGAGTGAGATTAGATTTCTTTATTAATATGGTACATTTGTGTGAATTATTTATTGGTTTATGATATTTAATGTAATAACTAGTCAGCATTGCACCCTTTACATTCCAAAGTTTATGGGCATTTGAAAAAGTTACTGCAATAATTTATGCCTACAGGACCTTCTGTTGGGGGTAGGTTTTTTAATAATGCTAACAAATATCCCATCTAAAATATTTCTATCTAAAACATCAATTAAAATTGTTTTATGAGAAGCCCAACCTTTTATTTATGATATAAAGTGATAATTATATGTAGTAATCTCTGAATTAAACAATACTTAAACAAATAGCTGGTATTCTGTGTTGAAAAGTAGGATGGTAACACTTCGCAGAATGAAAAAGAAACAGATCATTTGTAACTGTGATATATACTATTGCAATAGTCTGAAATTCCTATTCCTTTTCATTATAAAAGTTTTCATTTTTATATTACTACTGAACATTCCTCTTACCCTTAAAAAATTATTTTTTTAATGCTAAGGAAAACTCTGACAGGTTCTGAAATCCAAAAGTTTCTCCCCAGCCCTTACTACTTTTCATAGCAAGTTTTTTTCTTTTCTCTTCTTTTCTTTTTTAATGCAGTTGACATTTACCTCTTCTTTTCCTTCTTTTTATATTTTTGGGTTCCTTTTTCCATTGTAGCTAGTTGTTCCTCTGAGGTTCCAGTGATTTCCATAGAGGAAAAATCACCAATGATGCTGCAGTTCTCTATTGACAGATGGTGAATTCTCTGACACTTGATGGCCTACGTAGGGTCTTACTTTTCCCTGTATGTGCGATGACCCTTACTCCTTAAGTTTCAAACTCATGAAATGTTTTAGGGCATTACCTGGTAAGGACTGCGATATATTCTGGACATAGGTGTGTGTGTGTGTGTGTGTGTGTGTGTGTGTGTGTGTGTGTGTGTGTTAATGAACCACATGATGGAAGTCAAAGGCACCTTTGTCTCTTTCTCTAGACAATTGATAGTGTATTTCCTAAGAAGTCAGGGCATTTCCTTTTGCAATTAGAAGATAGTTGTCAAACCAGAAGTATTCGCAGTGATGTAGCAGGGGAATCTCATTCCCAGGCTGTGTCCAGGATGTCTCAGCTACCCCAACCCCCTGATATAGAAGCTGTTCCTCACTCAGAGTCACTCAGTGTCTGCCCCAGGGCCCCATGTTACACTCAGTTGCCTTGCCTCTCGGTTTTCTTTCCTCTTGAGCACTGCCTGAGTTTTTCTTGGTTTCTTGACTGCAGTATTTTGAAGAGTACAAGCCAGTTTGGGAAAAGGCCCATCTGTCAATCTGAATTTGTTTCCTGGGGTTTCAGTTGAATGGTTGCTGTAGTATTTATCTCTTTGGCTAGCAATCCCAGTGTTGATGATTCTGCTCTCCTACTGATGATGTCTGCCTGTGTCAGAGTCGGCAGGGTTAAACTTGATCAGTTTAAGGTATCTTCTAAATTTCTTTATTAAAGTTTCTCTCTTTGTAGTTAATAGTCTGTAGAAGGGGGCTGGAGAGATGGCTCTGCAGTTAAGAGCAGTGACTGCTCTTCCAGAGGACTCAAGCTTGGTTCCCAGAACCTTCCTGGACAGCTTACAACCACCTGCAGTCCCAGCTCCAGGGGACCCAACATGCCCTTCTGGACGCCACTGGTGCCCACACATCTGTGCACACTCTCTCCAGATATATGAATAATTAATGTCTCACTCAGGTTTACTATTGCCATGATGAAACACCATGACCAAAAGCGACTTGGGGAGGAAACGGATTTGTTAATTCTGCTCACATTTCCACATCACTGTTCATCATGAAGGAAGTCAGGACAGGAACTCACACAGGGCAGGAACCTGGAGGCAGGAGCTGATGCAGAGGCCATGGAGGGTGCTGCTCACTGGTTTGTTGTTCAGCTGGCTTTCTTATAGAACCCAGGACCACCAGCCCAGGGGTCCACTCAAAGTGGAACGGGCCCTCCACCATCAGCCACTAATTAAGAAACTGCTCTATGGGCTTGCCTACAGCCCAATCTCATTTTCTCAGTTGAGGTTTCCTCCTCAAAGATTATAGCTTGTGTTAAGTTGATATATAACTAGCCAGCATGGTTAATAAAAGTAAAATATAATAAATTTATAGGGATGCATCAAGAATAACAACTATCCTACTCGTTACCAGTATGTGTGCTGATACTTTTGCTTTAACAGATAAAGCTTGCCTGAAGGTCAGAGTGCAGAACTAGCCACTAGTCAGCCACAGAGGCCATGCAGTGGTGGTGCACACCTTTAATCCCAGCACTCCAGAGGCAGAGGCAGAGGCAGAGGCAGAGGCAGAGGCTGAGGCAGAGGCAGAGGCAGAGGGATCTCTGTGAGTTTAAGACCACCTTGGGCTACACAAGGTTGATCCAGTTTTTAAAAGAGAAACAGGAGACAGTGGTAGCTCACATCTTTAATCCCAGTACTTGGGGTCGCGCGCCTTTAATCGCAGCACTAATGAGGTGGAGGCAGAACTGATGTGGCTGGGCGGAGAGAGGAACACACGGCTGGAGGAGGCAGGAGCTCACTGCATTCAATCTGAGGATTCCTAGGGACAGGATCGCCTCTTTGTTCTGAGGATTCGGTAGAGGTAAACACTAGTGGCTGACTGCTTTGCTTCTGTGATCTTTGAACATTAACACCCATGTCTGTCTGACTCTCCGATTTTATTATTAAAACCAAGTAGAATTTGTGTGTGTGTGTGTGTGTGTCTGTGTGTGTGCGTGTGTCTGTGTGTGTGTGGTGTCTGTGTGTCTTGCTGCTTCCTGTGTTATACTTTAGAATTATTCAGCAAGGTTCCTTTTTACCCTGTCTTATGAGTTACTGTGGGTCATAGCTCTTTGAATGATAACTCTGCTACTCAAGTCAGGATCAGCTTTAACTCATTTTTGTAACCCTCGGGCCTCGAATCATTGTAAATGTGTGGGAATGCTGAACAGGTGCTTGAATGAAAAAAAAAAAAAAAAGTGCACAGCTCTATTAGTTATGCCAAGTTTCGCACTGCAAGTAGCCTTCTTGGGAGTCCTGACTAACCAAATGATCAGATCTGTATAATGCGGAGTGAATATTCTTGTCTCATTAACTCTAACCTGTGCATTTATTTACTTTTGTCACATTTCATCCTCTGTGAAACAGGGACACACAGAGCTGATGGCTCTTATAACTGCTCTGAGTCATGTTTGCAGAATTCCGTTGACCTCATTGTAGGTAGAGAGAAAGGAAGAACATCAAGATGCATCAAGGCTCAGCGGAGCATGGGGGACAGTTATTTCAATCATTTCTGCCCCTGTGACACGAAGATCCTGGGCTGCTTGAAGGTGTCAGTGGCTGGCTGTTGAGATTTGCCAGTGTAACTTGAATGGACAGATCAGCCAGTTCCTGGCTTGTCTAACCCCACACGTGACAGACTGAGTATTGGTCTACCTCCAGTGGTAGGCAGCCACTTCATCATAGCCATGAGGTGATGTAGTGAGTGTTCTGTTTATCTGCAAGCCCAGGAGACTGTGGGACTCCCATGGGTCTCAATGGATCATAACCTCTTTTCTTTTCACTTACCATTAAAACAAAGGAGAACTAATCCTTCTTTTCTCTATCGACAGGAGTGAAACCTCGATCAAGTTGGGCCATCGATCCCTTTGGATATTCACCCACAATGGCTTATCTTCTGAAGCTCGCTGGGTTTTCTCACATGCTCATCCAGAGAGTCCACTACTCAGTGAAAAAACACTTCTCTTTGCAGAAATCTCTGGAGTTTTTCTGGAGGCAGAATTGGGGTACGTTGAATTTCATGAAAGCTGATGATTCCACTTGACCGAGGTGTGTTCTCATTGGGGTTCTGTTACACCTGTGGGTGTCCTAGTTACTTTCCTATTATATAAAGAGACACCAAGACCAAGGCAACTTATAAAAGGAGATGTTTGTTGGGGCTCATGGTTCCAGAGGGTTAGAGGACCCTGTGGGGGCCGGTGGGGGCACATGGCATCCGGCAGGCTGACGTGGCCCAGGGACACTGGCTGAGAACCTGCATCTTGAGACATAAACACAAAACAGTGAGCCAGCTGGAATGGCCTTGGCTTTTGAAAGCTCAAAGTTCATCCCAAGTAACAAACCTCCTCCAACAACGCACATCTCCTCCAGTAATGCCACAAGTCCTAATCTTCCCCAAAAGATCCCCCAACTGGGACCAAGGATGCAAACGTGTGAGCGGACGAGATCATTCTCACTCAAAGCTCCACACCACAGTGGGTGTTAACCACAGCGCAGGCCTCCAGCATCATCGCACCGCTCAAAGAGAGGTTTTCTCATAGGATAGTTATTTCCCATTGCATTTGTGTCAAGATTCTTATAAATATTGACGTCAACTCACGTTTGGAAAGTTGTGAAGTTATTTTTATGACCAATAGAAGCAAATAGATACAGCACTTAGCATTGCTGCGGCTCGTGCTTTGGTGTAGTGGGAGAACCAGGGTTTCCTGGGGAAGCCGAGCACGTCTCAGAGCTTGTACAGTTGCATGTCTCATACCCAGAGACACTCCCTCGAACTGACCTTGAACCTGTCCTCCCAGGGAGCCTGCACCCTTCCTGTATGCAGACTGATTGAAGCAAATTTTACCCAGCTTCCTGCGCCGGAGACTGGGTTTAGATCTCACGGGAGGTACTTGCCTGCAACAACCCCCGCTGAAGAAGAACCTCTTAATTTATATGTTGTTACTTTTTAATTTTTGAGGTTATAGGATGATGAAACATTTCTCCCTTCCCCCTCCACCTTCCAGACCCTTCCATATACCCTGCTTGCTCTCTTTCAAATTAATGGCCTCTTTATTCATCAGTTGTTAATTGCATACACATTTTGACATATGTGTGTTTTGTAAATATAACCTGCACTGTCTGTACGATGCTGCTTGTATGCATGTTTTCAGGGATGGCCATTTGGTGTTGACTAATCGATGTGAATACTCTTCCGTGGAAAGGCTATTTCCCCCGCTCTCGGAATCCCACAGTTGTGTGTAGCTCTCAGTGTGGGGTTTTCAGGCCCCTTGGCCTTTTCCTATTGCACCTTTGCATGTCCTTGTTCAGATCTGGCTTCTGCAGCCAGGTGCCTTAGGCTTTATGGACCTGACTTTTGACATTAGTTGGAGGCACATTCTTGTAGCAAACTCTCTGGTCTTCTGGCCCTTAGAATCTTTTTTCCTTCTTTTCCACAGTATTCCCTGAACCTTCGGTGCAGGAGGGTTTTGCAGCTGTATCCAAAGAGACTGGGCCCCACAACTCTGCGTTATGATTGATTGTGGTTTTCTGTACTAATCTCTGCCTGTTGCAAAGTGAAGTTTCCTTAACGAGGAAGAGTAATTTGAAGATTTGCTCAAATAATTGCATGTTTCAGGTCGCTTAGAATTATCAGTTGGCAAGGAGTTATTGGGTAATTTTATGTATTTTCAACAGCTAAGACAGAATATAAAAAATATCCTGTGGATAAGGAAATTATATCTTGATTTAGTACAATATAGACCCAACCAAACACAGGAGACTGAACTATGTAAAATAAGCTGCCATGGCGGTTGTTAGGAAAGGTCCTGGGTCCATGTGTTGCTCAGAAGAAGAGAGTTGGAGGTCATTACCCCACTTTTGGGACTGGTGACAGGCTGTATGCCTGCATCAAGCATTGTGGTACTGGCCTTGGTGTCACACTTGGGTCCAGTTCATCGACACTTGCAGTGCATAGGAGGGAACGCAGGTCTTTGAATAGTTTAAATTTTGCCGAAGAAGAGGTTAGAACTGGTTAGGACTTCTCTGATAGGCTTGAGAATGTAGCGGCTTGAAAGATGGTTTCCAATTAGGTGGTGCTTGTATGTATGTTTTCTTCTTAATGAAGCAGTTATTTTCACTGTTAAAAATATGTGTTGATTGCTTTGTCTTTATTAAAGAAGCAATACCCATTGTAGGAACTGGAACTGCACCCATGCATACATAAAAGCAGGGCCTGTTAAAGCTTAGCATCATGCTCACAAACCTCCCTCCACTGGGAGGCCTGCTTCTGACTGTTGTTAAGGGGGCGTGGTCTCACCTTGGCGTTGATCTCGTAACTAAAACACAATCCTCCATCAGTAGGAGAACTTGGTTTCCGTGCCACTTTGGTTTGCTTTGATTTTTGAATTGGAAATCCCCCTTTCCTGTGCACCCCTTGTGATGGAAAATGCCACTGACTCATTCCTGGGGACCAGCAGGAGAGACTCCACGGGCTTTCCAGTGCTCCACTTTCGCTCTTGCTGGAGGCGACTGGGCTCTGCCCAGGGCTCCCCCCTCCCTACCCTCCCTTTCTTCTTTGTTCCTTCAGGTCTCCTCTTAGTCCCTTTCTCACCTAGCCTCTCTGGCTGATGGAACTGTCACAGTGTGTCCCTAGGAACAGATGTAGCAGAAGCTGGCAGCACGGGGGTGGACAAGGTCATTCATGATTTTGCATGAGCCAGCTGTAACTTTTACTTTTGCTCAGGTTGTATCCTCCAGGTCAGCAATTGCTGGTTCATCAGGGACTTCTCTATTTCAGTTCTGCTAGATGGGAGAGGTGAGTGAGGGTGAGCTACAGCTCTTCCTTCAGCGGTGGCTGGAAAGCGCTTCTGGAGCATAAAAATGACTGTTGATTTAGGGCACAGCTTGCATTACCTAGATTTGTGTAAAGTAATGGCATTTGAATAATTCTGGAAACAGTTTTGTGAACAGAAATAACTGTGTTGACTTTTTATTTCAGATCTTGGCTCTGTCACGGATATTTTGTGTCACATGATGCCCTTCTACAGCTATGACATCCCTCACACCTGTGGACCAGACCCTAAAATATGCTGCCAGTTTGATTTTAAACGGCTTCCCGGAGGCAGATATGGTTGTCCCTGGGGAGTCCCACCAGAAGCAATATCTCCTGGAAATGTCCAAAGCAGGTATTAAATATGCATTTTGTAAGACATCAGGGACAGCATGGCTACTCTGAGTTGTTGAAGGAGCAAATAAGTGGGTGTTGGCAGCGAGTATTATCCTCAAAGTTATTCATTCAGACCCGGTCTCATGCAACTTCAAAATGCCAGCACCTCGACCATAACCTTTTGGTGTTATAATGTAATGGCAAGTGAACAATGGCAGATCAATATACAGTGGCTAACCTATAATATGCTGTTATTACCATCTCCTTTATACTCATTATAAAAGCTTTCTACTGTGTTTGATTGATTTCATACACTTCTATTGATAATAACACTTTTGGTCCCCATTGTACAAATTGGTAAGAAAAGCAACTCAACTGCAAAAAACACATTTATTGAAATGGAGCACATAAAGAGTATAATTATCTCTTACCTTAATAACGATTTCAATAATGGTAACTATGCCTGGCTTGGATGAATACAACTTGGCATCTTTCTGATGTCTTTGACTTATAGAGGACTTTAATTAGAATTATTTATATTTAAATACATGTGAATAAAAGTCACACGTATGGACCAGTTCCTCAGACAAAGTGTGCCAAGTGAGGGGACTCTCACTTCAAGTTACCTACAATGCCTCACTTGGTCATTACACAGTTCAATTCCTACACTTACAGGGAGAGGTGTGCAATATATTAATACATCATGTGTATACATGTCTTCTGTATATAGTTACATACATATGTATCAGAAATAGAGATTATAAATAAGAGAGACAAAAAGGGGAAGGCTATCTGGGGGTGGTTGAACGGTAGTACATAATGAGGAGAGAATTCTGTTTATATGTTGTTAGATTTATAAATAAATTGGGATTTATATGTTATCGTACCTATGTATTTGAAAATTACTTTAAAATGTGTATTTTAGTAAAGTGGCAGTTACAGGTTTTCTTATTAAGGCTGAACACACACACACAGATCATTCATACACACACACACACAGATCATTCATACACACACACACACAGAGATCGTTCATACACACACATTCACACACACAGATCATTCATATACACATACACACAGATCATTCATACACACACACGCACACAGATCACTCATACACACAGAGATCGTTCATACACACACATTCACACACACAGATCATTCATATACACATACACACAGATCATTAATACACACACATTCACACACATAATATGGTTCATACACACATACACAGGCAAATCAACAATTACAGAAATAGAAACCATTAATTTAGGCGAGAGCAGGGGCAGGGAGTTACATGGGAAAGGTTGGAGGGGAGCAAAGGAAGGGGAAATTATATAGTTGTATTTTAATTTCAAAACTTGAAAAAATGTTTGGGTCATTTCACCTTGTCATAAAGGCGTATGCCGGTGAGAGCCCCTCATTGGAGCAGGCCAGTGTCAGTCTTGTTGAGTCTGTGAAGTCATGCTTTATCAGATTCTCACCTCACCATGGTTGTGCTGCTGACCAGGCCCAGGAGAGGTTGATCAGGCATTTGAGAATGAGCGTGTGCTGTATTTATCAGAGGCCGTAGTGAGAAGAGAAAGCTGGCGATGGGCCATGCTGCCTGTCCACTCAGCTGCGGAGGTCCCCTTTGGTCTTTTGGTGCTGATGAAGGTGTATCGCGGTAAATAAGGATCAGGATAAACAAATAGGCCAAATAGATGTTTATTCAGGGAGAAATAACTTACAACCTAGACAGATGAACACCAGGAAATTCAACCCGATCCTCTCCTGTCCGAGTCACGCCAGAAAGAGAGCGCCTTTCCTGGCCCCCTCAGACCTCCTTCCACAGGTCACTTCCGCCCATGGCTCCACCCCCCAATGGGCGTGGTCAGTGCTACAGAAGGACTATCTCATTACAATTTCCCTTTTAGTCTAAAGAAAAGATTTAGGCTTAATACAAAACTATATACAGAACAGTGAATAACAAGTGTGCTCTAAGAAAAGGAAAATCGAGAACAAAATGACCTACATATCTAGTCCTAGGGTGAGGGCATAATGGAGTTTACAATAGAGTTGTCCTAAGCTGGAAAACATAAGTCTAGTACCTAATATATCTAACTAGGAAGAGAGAATAATAGTTGTGATAGTTTAATCTTCAACCTCATCAAGACCTGAGAAGGAAATTAACAATACTAGAGTAGACAGGAAATGCGGATGGACAACTTCCAAAAGGTGCAGCAAGGACAGAAACAGCAAGCCACCTGAACAATCACCCTAGGTCTCACAGCGACGTTGGTACACCCAGATTTGGCTAAGGCCAAGAGAACTTGACAGACCACAACAACAGCAGGGAAATAGAATGGCTGTCTTACCCTGACTTAGCAAGCAGTCTTTTATATTTGTCTCCTGCAAGCACATAGGACTGCATGTCCAAATCAGTGGTCAAGGTGGTAATAAAGATTAAATATCTCACCAAATGCTAATCTCAGAAAACTAAGAGTTTATATTACATGTGGTCAATATGATTATATTTTTCTTATCAAGCTGCTAAATGATTGCTGAAATTTTATTTGCGAAGCAGTTTCAGACACTATACATCTTCAGAAAGTCCATATGGGATTCTAAGTTGAATTAAATGTTGCTTTTATAAAATACTGCTTATTGATGTTCTTTGAGGTACTTTTGTGAGTTTATATTGGGAATTGGAGTTTACTTTTGCATTGTCTTTGAAGTGAAAATTGGAATACTAGGCAAAAACCTGTCCTGCCGCTGGAACACTAGTTCCCAAAGCTTTGACTTTGTGTACACTGAATGAGTCTGGGTCCTTCTGCTTTTCCAGTTTCATTCATGGGCCTATCTTCCTGTGTTCTCAGGGTTACCCCGCCTGGCATCCCCCAAAGGCACGTCTCACAAATTTCACTTTACCTAATTTTTAAATCAATAATATTGTTTCAGATAGTACACTTTTGACATCTCGAGTTGCCTTTTTACTGAGCTACAGTGTCCCCTTTTTTTCTGGTATAATCTTCACATTTCCTCTTTTTTCCTTCGCAGGGCTCAAATGCTGCTAGATCAGTACCGGAAGAAGTCAAAACTGTTCCGTACTAAAGTTCTCCTAGCTCCTCTAGGAGACGACTTCCGGTACAGTGAGTACACGGAGTGGGATCTGCAGTACAGGAATTACGAGCAGCTGTTTAATTACATGAATTCCCAACCCCATCTTAAAGTGAAGGTAATGAGACGGTCTTGTTGATGTCTGTGAAGCTGAGCCTCCATCCTTTAGTGAGACCCCAGCACAGCATCCAGCATCTCAGTCCTACATCCCGGAACTTCCTCTACCCCACAAAGCTAAGCTTACCATACCCTGTGGTTCTGTTTCCAAGAGTCACCCTTCCTCCTTACGTGAGGACATCTGTGCTTGGGTTAGAGAGGGATGGCTGTGTCCCCACTAAGCCGAGTCCTCTCTTTCAGCAATGTCCACTTTGCTTACAGCCTGGGAAGCTTATTGTTCTGTTCACCGTGTCCTCGTGACTTAGTCACTTGACTGGGCGTTATGAATGCGTGTGTCATGAGTTTACAAAGTCTTGTTTTCAGAGAATTCATTTGCATTCCTCAGTGAGAAGATCTTGAAAAGAACCATTTGCCTGTTGTTGTTTTTTGACTTGTGGGAAATTTAAAATGTCCTGGAAAGCGCAGAGGCAGCTAGCTGCTTCCTGTTTAGCTCCGTAGCTCAGTTCCAGCACTCATGGCCTCCCTTGGTTCTGGTGTGTTCTCCAGCAGCCTTCGGGAGCAGATCTCAGGCGCCATGCTTCATCCCTAACATTTTCAGAACGGATGTCTAAATGATAGGGATTCCGTTCCAACCTATAGTCATTCTCTTATTATCATACCAGAAATTAGCAATTATTTAGAGACATGAATCTGGACAGGCTGGAGTTTCCTTATTCGTTACGTAAGACAAGTTTCAGTCTGATATATTTATCGCATGTGGTCATCAAAGTCATATTTCAAATGCATCTTAGAGTATGTGAGGGAGTTCACTCTCCAGTGTTTGTCATAGTCATCTACCCACCCGCAGCACAGTGCTTCTGTGGGGGGAAGAGCTGTCTCTGTGTAGAAAGTCTTAAAAACTCATAATGCCAGGTAAATGAAGCAGTGCACATAATGTGTGCATTGGTTTTGGCCTGCATATATGTCTGTGTGAGGGTATTAGGTCCCCGGAACTACAGTTACAAAGAGTCATGAGTTGCCTTGTGAGTGCTGGGACTTGAACCCGGGTCCACTAGAAGAACAGCCAGTGCTCTTAACCACAGAGACATCTCTCCAGCCCAGCAATAAATTAAAATAAAAAAAAAAAATGATCCCAGATATTTACAGTTAAATTTTTGCAAGCGTATGAGGTTGAGCAAAAGAGGTGTATGCAAATCTGTGTCCTCAAAAGTGAAGCTCATACATGATCAAAGAAGGCTCTGTGAAGGTATCTTTGTGTGCATGAGTGTGGTGGTCAGAGGGTCACATCGAGTACCTTCTCTGGTTACTCTTCATCTTATTTGAGGCGCTCTCTCTCGCCTGACTGATGACTCCCAGGGACCACTTGTCCGCACCTCCCTGGCCCTGGGCCGCAGGGGCACACCGCTGTGTGGGTTTCTCATGCGGGCTCTGGCGATCACGACTTCGGTCCTCGCGCATTGTGGCCAGCGCCTTTTCCACTGAGCCGTCTCCCAAGCCCTCTAAATGCATCTTATTTGGGAATGATTTCTAGTCTGATTTCCTACTTGACCCTGAAGAATTCGACCATAATTTTGTTATTTTCCCATTTCTTCTCCTGTAATCTCAGTAAAAACAAGTTTGAAAATAGTTTATCGAAATACCATATACAAAAAGTTGTACAAACGGTTATGCAGAACATTTTTCTTTTAACTTAAAAGCATCACCCAGCATCAAGCTGAGGACTTCACACTCTGCAGAAGCCTCTCAACGCCCCTCCCACTTGTCACCAGCTGCTGCAGAGACACCTTCCAGCTCAGGGAGTCACAAGCCTCTGCCTGTTTTCTTTTAGATGATGCTTGGGTCTCCACCACCCTCCTCATCCCTTTTTTTAGAGAGTTACTTCGTTATCTTTTGAGGTTATAATGACATCACCCCCCTTTCCTTTTCCTGCCTTCACACCCTTCTATTCACTCAGCTCTGTTCTCTTCTGAATTCATGGCCTCTTTTATGAATTGTTGATCATGCATATGTGTGTGTGTGTGTGCGCGTGCCTGCATCTCCTTAAATATAACCTGCTCGGTCTGTGCAGTGTTACTTGTGTGTGTGTTTTCAGGGCTGGACATTTGGTATAGATGCTGGAAGACCGTTTGGCTCCTCTCAGCATCCCTTAACTGCCCGTAGTTCTTTGTGCAGGGTTGAGGCCTCATGGTCTTCCCCCAACCCACATTGATCTTGTGTTAGGATTGTATTGCATCTGTGGTTCTAGATGAGAGCAGTTAACTTTTTGGCATCACGAGTTGGATATATTCTGTGTATAAAATGCCACTGGCCTTTGTAGTGTAACCTTGCATCTCGTAACCTAGTAATAAATGTAGTGACTTTCGTTGTGTGTGGACTTTAGCCAGTTGCTGTTGGGTCTGTAGAGTCGCTTCATCAGGTGAGAACCCCCTCCGGGTGTCCCTCCTTTTCTCTGGCTCTTACGTTTTTAATGTGACTAAGTGCTGATTTCCTTCACTTGTCCTTCTTGTGGGTCTCCCGGTAGGTCTTCACGTCCCCTTCAGTGAGTGGGCATGTGCCCCACCCCATACGGAGTGTGGCGGACATGCAGCCCTCCCCTTGAGTTATACCCTCCAGGACTTTTGTCCCTCCCATCCTACCCTGTCCCTTCAGACCAGCCTTGGAGTTCTTGTCATTCCTGCTGCTTTACTTCTACTCAGTGTAGAGGAAGTCAGTCCTCTTCGTGAATTCCCTGTTGTTCTCAAAGCCTCACCCTTCTCTCACAAGAACCAAGGCCAGGAGAAGCACGATGTGCGAGATGCCTTGAGGCTAAGCATGGCTCCAGACTTCTGAACTACTCTTTGGATCCTACAGTGTTTTTTGAGCCTTTGTATGGTTCTTGTGTCGATAGACGTGTAGATGTAAGTAGTTCTTTAAATTGCTTAGGTAGGCACAGCTTCTCTTAGTTCAGTTTGGGTCACGGTGCAAGTCAAAGAAGGAGTCTATGGAACCCTCCGCTCCCCACATTTCCCTCATAAGTGTAACCTTTGGACTCATGTCAACTTGGAAACTCGTCCCAAATACTTAAGAATTTTTCCTTTCTGACTAAGAAGTAACCACTTTAAGATAAGCGTGAATAATTAAAACACAACTCTCCAACTTTACTTCCTAGATTCAGTTTGGAACTTTATCTGATTATTTCGATGCATTGGAAAAAGCAGGGGCAGCGGAGAAGAGTGGCCAGTCCCTGTTCCCCGTCCTGAGTGGAGACTTCTTCACTTACGCCGACCGAGACGACCACTATTGGAGTGGGTACTTCACTTCCAGACCATTCTACAAACGGATGGATAGAATCATGGAATCTCGCTTGAGGTACTAGGCCTTGAAACAGTTCCATTATTTATGCTTTACATCACCATAGCATTTTAATAGAGTTTGCACAATCCTTTCTGTGGTGCCTATATATTTAATGTAATTATAGTGGTTTTAATGCAGTCAGAATATGTCTCCGTAGCATAATCAAATTATCACACTTTTCTTGTTCTGAGTGAAAAGCAGTTTATTGAATTGTGTTTCCTTCCATTTGCATCCTGTATTTCTCTGATGATTTTTCCTGTGTTGTTTCTGTTCTGTGTTGACAGTGGGTGGTACTACCATGTGATCTGCAGGCAGGTAACCTAGCAGGCTGAACTGTTGGAGTTAAAGAGGCACCCAGGGCTTCTCAGCAGTGGCAAGTGGGCTTCTAAGTGCACACTCTAAGACGAGCGTGCATTCTATGTGGGAGAACTTCAGAGGTCTCAGCTCAGTTCTGATTTATTTTAAGCACCTTTCTATAGCTATGATGTTCCTGCTTAGAACAAATTGAAAGAGATAAGAATTGGGGCAAGAAAATGATTGTTTGAATAAGTAATCAGATTCTGTGGAAATGCAGCTAGAAAGCAGAAGAACATCAAACAGCATGATCAAGTAGGAATGTCAGTCAGTGACAGAGAGAGCTTCACATTTCTGTGACGTCCACTGTGACAGCTATGGAAATGTGGCCAGCGTGGCCGAAAACTGGAGTCTTTGTTTCATCCACATGGCTCTAGCCACATGTGGTCACATCAGGAAACAGATGTTCTGTGAAGCGAACTAGCCTGAGATGCCCAGGCCTCTTTCCCTTCACCTGTGACCGAGCTGAGAAATTTGTTTTCAAGATGGTCTTTTATTTTTTTTTTAACAGTTGTTTGTTTTTATTTTGTGTATATGTGTGTTTTGCTTATATGTATGTATAAGCCATGTGTGCCTGATGCCTGGGAAGTCAGAAAAAGGTATCACATCCCCTGGGCCTGGAGTTACAGAGGGCTGGGAGCTTCCATGTGAACTCTGGGAACTGGAACCAAACTGCCACCTGCTGAGCCTTGACATTAAAATCTTAACCCACCCTCTTTTGTGTATTAATGTCTTGCGAATACATTTTAGAAAGGTGTTTTTTAAAAAATCATACATTTCTTTAAGAAAATCTCAGGTATGTAAGGAGTATATTTGTAATATATTTATTACATGTGTTATATTTACACTATTATAAAATAATTTTCATATACTGAGGAAACATCCATAAAGTAATATCTGCTGTTATGAATCTTTCATGATAAAATGGAATAAATGATAGATAGTATGAAGATTTATACCAATGAAGTAGTGATTTTTAAGTGTTAATTATTTTCTAATGGATAAGAGTAGTGAATATATTAACTTATGAAATATATTCAAGGTGCAGTGGTTATGACTAAGAATGGATTTTTAAATTATGCTTTATGGCAAAGCAAAGCAAAAAAAGTATGCAGTAGTTTTGAATTTCTGAGCATATTAATTTATGTAAAAACAAGCTTATTGTCTGGCAGTAATACTCCATTATCATTTATAAAGTGTACATAGAGATAGATACAAAGAAAAAAATAGATCTTGAGTTCAGTTCCTAGCACACATTACATGCAAGGGAAAGAATAATTTCCAAGTCTTTAGTGGAATATTTAAAGATAGCCCTATAGTGTCCCATGTTTCTTAACCTGTGGGCCATGATCCCCAAGAGGGTGGCATATCAGATAGTTACATTACAATTCATAACAGTAGCAAAATTACCGTTATGAAGTAGCAACAAGATAACTTTTGGTTGGGGGTCAGCACAACATGAGGAACTGTGATAAAAACCGCAGCCTTAGGGGCTTGAGAACAGCATCCTAGCATAGTTATTGTTTCCAGAGTCAGAATGTTTACCATGATGTGAGTGGGCACACACATGATTTGTTTAGTTCTGACCCACTCACTCCCATGGCAGGAGTCTGGCAAAGAAATTTGAAATGGTGGTTATTTTGTATGTTTCCCGTGTTTCTACAATTTAGATAGCTCATGACTTCTTATTTTAAAAAAAGCACTTCCAAGGTACTTTATCCATTCTCTCTAGTGTGTTTGTTATGCAGACCCTTCTGAGGCCTTTTGGTCCATGATGCCTTTAAAAACATCATGTCTTCAAAACCATAAGCTCTTATTCTTGTCCCAACGTCATTGTAGTCTTTAAAACACATGAAAATGATGGACAGCGCTCAAGCCAGCACCCAAGAGGCTAATGTAGGAGGGTTTGCGTGAGTTGGAGACCAGTCTGGGCTACACAGTAGAAACTGGTCTTAAAAAAAAATAATAAAACAAACAAAACAAAACCCTAAACAAAAAATGTTCAGTACAACAACAGTCTTACTTGCTTTTTGTGGTAGTTTGTTCTCAGAGGCTCATAGATTGGAAATTTGGTTCGCAGTTGGTAGAACTGTTTGGGAAGAATTAAGAGGTGCGGCAGCGTTGGAGGAGGTGTGCCACCAGGGCGTGGGCTTTGAGGTCCCAGAAGCCCACGCCAGGCCGCATCTCATTCTGTCTGCTGTCATTTTGTCACTGTGTGATGTACAGGTGGACCAGCTTCCTACCAAAGGCTCGGGCTTCTTTCCAGAGTCACTGAAAACACAGTAATCATTGGTGATCGAGAACTTAAATACATTAGATAGGTGCTGCGTTGGTGTCTTAGGAAAATTATCACTGGTATCTTCTGCATAAAGAGTGTGCATTGAAATTGTGAATTTCTTTTTAAACACTATAATTGAAAATCATCGGTGTGCCAGGCATGGTAGTGTATGTGTTAAATCTGGCACCAGTGAGTAGAGACAGGTGAATCTCTATGAGTTCAAGGCTAGCTTGGTCTACATAGTAAAACCCTGTCTCAAAAATGAAAGCAACAACAACAAAGGCCTTAGTGATTACAAGCTAAAATGTTTGTTTCAGAAAACATATTAATGACTCTTCTATACTCTCAGGGCTGCTGAAATTCTTTACTATTTGGCCTTGAAGGAAGCTCAGAAATACAAGATAAGTAAGTTCCTCGCATCACCCCACTACACAACACTGACAGAAGCCAGAAGGAACTTAGGACTCTTTCAGCATCATGATGCCATCACAGGAACCTCGAAAGATTGGGTGGTTGTGGATTATGGTACCAGGTAATGTAATTATAGAAACACGGGTTCAAGTAAAATCCTTTTAACTTTGAGTCATAAAAGTGTGTGTGTGTGTGTGTGTGTGTGTGTGTGTGTGTGTGTGTGTGTAGATGAAGCTGCTAGTGTATATCAGATCATATACATAGTGTTATTTGTTCTATGTGTTGCCATAGACAAACACCACCAATTCTCCAGAACTCTGTGGAAGCATCATGGTAGCCCCAGCTTTCGACTTCAGTCTCCAGGTGTTAAGCAGTGTCTTAAAGCCAGTCCTGCTTTCTCCTGAGTTCAGTTTGGCAGTCAGGGTACCCTCTGGTCAGTAGCTTGATCCTGTCTTCTGTTACACCCAGTTGTTCTTGGATGCTTGACACAATCTTAGAGCGACCCTGAAGGGAAGAGCAAAATGCCAGGGTAACCAGAAAGGACTGGAATAAGTCAGTTGTGTATGGGTGGCGAAAGCAGTCGGAAGTGTGAATGGTGGCCGGGACACGGAGGTACAGGATCTCCCGATTGAGGAAGCAGGTGCTCAGTTATTTCTAAAGATTTTTTTAGATTAAAGGATAGTAGTGAAGAATTGGAAGCTGTGTGTACCCTATGGCTCGGAAAGGTTGAAGTCTTCGGGGCAGTGGAAAAAAGCTGGCCTTCAGTGCTGGAGGTCTCTACCATCGTGCCAGCTGAGGTTGCTCAGGGAGGGTTCACATTGGACAAGCGTCTTACCCATCGTCTTTCTATGTGTAGACTGTTGTTTCATCTAGATTTTCTTACCATTTCATCATTGTGCATGGATGTGGAGGTGGGACCGAGTGGTAGAAAAGTTGTCTACCATGCATGGGAGTTTTTAGTTTAATTCCCTCTGCTAAGAAATACGCATACAAGATGCTATAACTTTGTAATATTTTAAAATCATCAGACATATGGTGTGATGTTCCTATACACTTAAAACTTGAATTGTTTTGTTAACAAGTCTATGGAGCACATCAGCTCAATACTAAACAGTTGGTTTGCAATTGACATCACTAAGTGCTAAAGTCTTTGGTTACAGTATTTTAACTAGTTTTCTAGAAATGAAGAGGAAACAGATATCCTTAAAGCCTCACTATGGAATTTATTCCTTCAAAAATATGTCTAAAGTAGCATCTTAAATAGCTTCTCCGTTTTCTCTGAATTTTGCTGAACGTATTGTGTGCAGAGGCTGAGCTGGCCGTCATGGCGGTGGCGTCAGTGTTTCTCTTACAGAAAGCAGTTGGAAAGCAAGGCCAATACCTGTTTGTTCTCGTTCTTGCCTCTGAGAGTTTCTAAGTAAGTCTGGTACTCACAGGGCAGTGGCGAAGCTCTAGCCCTCTGCTCTAGCCTGCTCCTGTGGCAAAGGTACCTGACTACAGGACACTGAACTTTTGTTCACTCTCTGTCTCGTGTGTCCTTTGTAGGAGGCCAGCACCGGGCACCCGATGTAGTTTCTGATACTTCAGCTAAATAAGCCAGACCTGTGTGGCACTGCCTGTGAGAGGGGATGGGAAGACACAGCCATTTTCAAACTGTTGTTGACATTTGTGAATTTACTCTGCCAGTGCTTCACACTTCAACTGAAAAGTCGTAAACAATTATCAAGTCATTAGCACAGACACTTTCAAGGAAGCCATTTCCAAACACATGTTAGAGAATTAGAGACAAAGAGGCAGTTAGCACTGCCTACTGTTGAAGGCTGTTCATTCACACGTTGACAGGCATGTCCCTGTGAACAATTGTGCAAGCCAGGGACTGAGGGCTAGTAAGAGCATTCCCTGTTTATCTTCATGTCACATTTAAACGCCTGTCCATCACCCAGTCAGTTTGCCAGCGACACAGCGCCCAAGGAGTTTAGGCTCTTCCAACTTTTTCTCTTTCCCCCAGGGAGGGTCTGAGGGCTCTCAACAGTAGCCAAATATTTGCCTATTTGTTAGTTTTCATTTTTTTTTTTTTTTTTTTTTTTTTTTTTTTTTTGAGACAGGGTTTCTCTGTGTGGCCCTGACTGTCTCAGACTTCACTCTGGAGTCCAGGTTGTTTTAAGATGGAGACAAAGAATGTCTCATGACATATTTGAAGGTTAATTTAATTACGACAGGATAAAAAGTTGAAGCCGCCTGGGACACACGATGGCTACTCAGTTTCACATGCAGATAATGCTGCCGATAGAAGGGAAGAAGTCAGTTACAGAAAGACTGAAAAGTCTTCCAGTTTTCCCTGTGTTGTAATCATAATAGCGAGAGAAACCTAAACGAAAAGAGGGTGTGAGAGTCTAAATAGTCAGATGAAACTGTTGACCGACAGGCATGGCACCAGCTGTTTAAACAGCAGCCATGACCATAAATGGAGAAATCTCTTGATGATGACAGGGTTAAATGCTTAAAGTTTTGTTCCGACCTGTGCCCCGTGTTCTTGAATTTATTTACTACCTCATTTGGCCCTGTTTTAAACAAAGCAGCCGTGTGCCATGAGGAGCTGGTTGGGGACTGCTCCCTTCTCCTTCCCTGCTATCTTATTAGGACACTGTGTGTGCATGGGACAGATACAGACATCAGTGGTGCCGATAACTCACTTTAATTAGCACTTTTTAACATGCTGGGGCCCGTGTTGAGCTTCAGCTATTGTTGAACATGACTCTACAGGTTTAGCTGTCTGATAAGGAGAGACACACAGCTAATAGAAACAAGTGTGGGCTGAAGGAATTATTCCCTTAGCTAAACTACCTTCAGCCATCTGGCCTTGAGTCTGTTGAGAACACTTACTACTAAGGGCAAACATGAGGGCATGCTGAGAAATTTATATGGATAATAGTAAGAACTTGTTATTAGTATTAGAGATTTACAATGTAAGTTTGTTTTATTAATAATATTGATCATGTACACTTAAGGGTTTGCGTTCTGCAAAAGGAAGTTTTGTTTTTTGGTTTCGGTTTTGTTTTCTAATTTATTTAGAGATTTTTGTTTTGAGACAAAGCCTCTCTAGTTCAGGCTTGAACTCACTTTTTATTCCTGGCTGGTGTCACTTTTGTGGTGATCTTACTGGTTCAGCCTCTTACATGCTGAGCAATCTTTTATGGATTGCTTTTGGCTGTAGTTACAAAGTGCTAGCAAACATGTCTTAGCACATAGATAGCAGATTGCTCCCTGCATTAGAGAAAGCATGGTCAATTCTCTAAGCACAATAGGTCATTCCCATCAATTGACATGGTTGACAAAGCTTATTTGCATTGCGGATTCCTGCATTAATTGTTTGTTTAAGGATGCTTGGTCTATAAAGCCTTGTACAAGTGTGGGTTTGGAAAATTATAGAGATTCTACACCAAGTCCTTCCCCTCGGGGCCTGCTGCAGCAGTTATAAGTGCTCTATGGAGAGTGTACTGGGGAAACCACAGACCCCACAGGTCTGCACCCCAGAGCTGGGCATCAGTGTGTTAGGTCAGCTTTTGTCCCTCAAACACAAAGTAAAACTTGAGCATAGTTATTAGCGTCGATGCGCAAGAAAAGCAGCAATGATGAAGACAGCCCCATCATTCAGATCTGTGAGAACTTTTCTTCGTCATTGTGTTGAACAAGAACATGAAATTAATCCAACCAGATATCACTGTTAATTCTCAGGGATAGCTTACAGACAGATTGGGTAGTCTTGCTAAGGTGGAGTTAATAGTATATCTTCTTTTGCTGTTTTAGTAACACCCAACTTTTCTAGGGTGAAGAAGTCAATAATTGCAATGCAACGTACTCTTTTGTAGCTCTTGGAGTTATCAGCATAGATCTTCTTATGTGGCATGTTTATAAAAACTTCAAGCATTTTAAATATTTTGGTGTTACTTTGGTATGTCCAGGAGAGTTTTATTTTAGCTGAACTTTTATTGGTGTATCCTCTGATTTGCCATTTTCCCCTTAATACTTAGTTAGAGAGGAAAGCAAAGAGCTAGACCGTACATAATCGTTACGTGTTTAGCTTTGTGAATATAAGATGAAAACTAATAAACTTTTACTTTACAGACTCTTTCAGTCATTAAATGTTTTGGAGAAGATAATTGGAGACTCTGCATTTCTTCTCATTTTAAAGGACAAGAAGATGTATCAGTCCCAGACTTCCGACACCTTCTTAGAGATGGTTAGTTGATTTCTTCTATGATTGTAAAACCCATTTGGTTCTTTTGTTCTTATATTAAAAAAGAGATTAGGAGCTCCATTAAAATTATATTAAAGTAAAGTGTAAGACTTGTTTCGTTCATTGTTTAAAGAATTTGTATTACTTATATAGATGCCTGCATATTCAACCATCGCTTTTCTGTTGATATGTTTGCATTTGATTTCTGTATGTAATTCATTCTGCTTAAATCTTAGCATGAACAATGACCCAGTGAACTTATTTCAAGGTAGGTAAAACAGATAGATAGGCTTTTCGAACACTTTCATTATAATTAGTTATTCTGCTTGGCTATAATTAGAAACCTCTTGTATACTTGAATTTTTTTTAAACCCCTTTTAGTGCTTTTAGTGAAATTGCTTTTAAGGTTCTTTTTGGTATCAGGATAGGTTCATTGAGTGTTGTGGACAGTACTGAGACATGTGCATTGGGGGTGTGGAGTTTAAGGAATTAGATTAGCTCTTGGCCTCTGCCAGGACTCCCTTGTGAGGGCCTTGAAAGTTTTCCTAGTTCGTTTTCATTATGTGTGAATAGGGTGGTGATATCTGCCTGGCTCATTCTGGGGTTAGTTTAGCAGAAAGTGCACCAGAAAGGGACATGCTGTCCCTCACCCAGGCAGAGCCATCTAGAGGATGGCTGATACCCTCTACATACTCTCCTGGCAACTTGGATATTTAAAATTGTAACTTAGTTGTCATTGGTATATTTTTATGAGTGTTGGGATTTGGAATTTTATATGCAATTTGAATTTACACATCTGGAGTTAGAGATGTTATTCAATATTTTCTTAGATGGATGCCTGTAATCAAGTCATGATTACAAATTTTCATTTTAAAGTGAAAAAACACAAGAAGTAGATGTGTATTTCCTAAGGATATGAGATGCAGAAAGCAAAAATTTTGGGAGAATTTTCTCGAGCACTTGGGTTTATTTAGTTAGAAGATGAAGCAACCCATAGTGGGTTCTAGCCCCAGTAATGCATGCTGTGCTCGGGTCTGATAGTCTCATCTCTCTGTCTCTCTGTCTCTGTCTCTGTGTCTGTCACCTGGTGGTCTCCCCGCCCCCTCTCTCTGTGTGTGTGTGTGTGTGTGTGTGTGTGTGTGTGTGTGTGTGATTTCTGTCTCTCACACACACATTTGCAAGTTAGGATTATTTGCTTTGAATTTTGACCTGCTTCATATACTTTGAAAGAGGATTGTTGCCTGCCCCCATATTATGTTCTTTACAAAAATTTTACAAGGTAGTATTGATAGCTAATTTCGATGCTTCGTTTTTAAAAGTAAAATTTAAAAAGACTATGCCTTCCCTACAGGATATGAAGCAAAGTTCACAAGATTCTCTGCCAAAAAAAACCATAATACAGCTGAGTGCAAAGGAGCCAAGGTCAGTCTGTGATTCCTCTTTTGACCGCTTCCCTGGTGACTTCTGTTTCTGGACTTCTGCCCTTATTCTCCACACTTTCAGGAAGTTTTTCTGTACATCTGTTATGTTGTTTGTTTGTTTGTTTTCTGTTTTTGAAGACACAGGTTTTCTTCCATGATAGTCGTATTCGGTGCCCAGAACTAACTTGGCACAGTGACTGCTGTCGTTACGATTGTAATATTTTTACAAATGGAAGCCAAGGGATGGCAAATATATAGCTTGCGATCCAAGTATCTCCTCAGCTTTGTAATGCTGTTTTTAGATCCTTGTGTTTCTTCATTGACCTTTCGTGAAGTTTCTTGATGTTTGTCGATCCAGGATCCTAATTATTTTAAAGGAAGAAAGGACTTAGGAACCGGCAGATCACGGTTTCTTCTTGCACACTTTCCCTGGAAAACAACAGTGCTGCTCTGTAGACTGAGGCATTGTTGATGTGCACTGGAGTAAACGGTCAGCTAGGTCATTAAATAAAAGCCAGGGTGCCTGTGACGCCCTCCCATTCAAATGCTGCTTGCACTTGTCCTCTGTATTTCATGACCGAGTACCTGTCAGATACTGTCCATGGAGCTAGGTGTGTGGTATCTTTTCATAAGGTAACTTTAAGTTTTAATTGAGAACTTAGTGTCACCGCTTACAGATTGAAGGGTAACAGATGTTTAATTCATGATTTAACTAAGTATGATTTATTAAAATAACAGAAAAGAATTGCAGTGACATTTGAGACAGTGTGCATTGCTAGTCAAGTGAGGTTTTGAGGAAACATTCAGCCAATCCACGGTTGTCTAATTTCTTCCTAAGTAGAGACATACACAGCTTGTAGCGCAGAACAAGAAGCAGGGTTCTTTACTTACTGGGGCGCTCAGAAACTCTGCTGAGGTCACTCAGTCTTTTACTACCAACTTGTACCATGGAAGAAACATCATTTATAAAGTGTCATCTTTGTTTTAAAGGAAATAATGTTTGAATGTATTTGTGGCTAGATGTCTGCCTCTTAAATATCATATAATAATAAGCCATTTGGCTTGAATAATTATAGTAACTTTTTCTCTGTCTTCTGTTTTGACACGGGAAGACCCTAAGCTGGCCCTTAGGATCCCAAGTACTTCAACAAGTGACAGTGACAGATTTCATTGCTGCCGTCTCTGGTTGTATGTTGTGGTGGGCCGAGGCAGGCTGGGGTTCTCTGCAGGTCAGAGGGAGAGTCTGTGCCTGGGGCAGGGCATTGGTCCGTTAGCCTTCCCGAGGCTGGAGGAAGAAAGGTGAAGTCACAGCTGTTATAGACGGAGACAGGTTTACTTATGAATTAGCACGGATGGGATTGCCCAGGCTTCTGGTCAGAGATGCTGCCGAGCAGCCTATATTTAGGCAATGTTTTCACCTACTAGCATCTCTTCCTGGCAAAGGTTGGGGCGGCCGCCTTTATAATTTGGCTGTTCAGCACTGTCTCTGTCTCTATCTGTTTAGAGCTTGAGAATGTCGTGACCACACCTACTTATTTTTAAGCTACTGAGGAGCCCTGTCTAGAAAAAACAAATAAACAAAACTTAGTTTTTCTTTGGTAGCTACAAATGACTTTGGCTATTGATATACTAGGAAAATTGCCAGTGAACTAAAAGAATGGCAGTGGCCTACAAGAGTGAAGGACTCAGTGGTTTTCCTTAGCTGGTCTTGCAGGTTAAACAGCTCTTCTGAGTCTTTAAACTGGAAGTTTTAGAATTGTGGTAAATCTTCTAGAAGGTTCTTAGACTTAGCTTCAATTATCAGTGCAGTGCTTATTTGAGTAGCAAATTATTAATGTGAATAAACCATGCACTCACAGTGGGGAAGGCGACACCTGGAAGATGAAAAACACCGTCATCCCCTTGTGCTGAGTAGTCCCATGGTGAAAAGTGGGGTCCAAGAAGTAGCAGTGGTGGTAAATACATCATTTTATCAGAGACTACTGTCAATTAATGAACCCGCCCCTCTGATAATAGCCAGTCCATTCATGAAGGCAAAGCCCAGATTGCTTGACCACGTCTTCAGGGTCTCCGCATTCAACAGTTTGCTTACTTGGTACAAGAACGTGGAAAACAGAAGATTTTAGTTTGAGATAAACTTACTTAAGTTACTATTACAAGTCTACCTGTAAGAGGTTTTAATTTTGGTCAGGTATTTACTGGCAGATAAACCTTTTCTGTCTCTCCCTTTTATCCCTCTTCCTCTCTTCTTTTAAAAGGAGAGAGAGAGAGAGAGAGAGAGAGAGAGAGAGAGACGGGGTTAACACAGAAGTCAGTGTGTGCTTCAGAATATCAACAGGAATAAAAAAAGACCTACTTCAGACAAGGCCCTCCGGGTTGGCCTTGCCCTTTGCTGGTTGGATGCGCCTGCCTTGGTACCTCCCATACTCTCATTTATCAGCCTTCGGTTTCCTACACATGTGCTTGCTTTTTGGACTCCAATCTGCTAGATAGCCTTATTCTTTTCTAGTGTCTCTGTCCTGACCCCAGAGTTGGACCTCGCCTTTGTTGATTTCCCCTGTTTTGTGGGCGCTGAGGCTCCTGGCTTTCATCTCTGCTCTCCCCTGACTTCCTCCTGCCACTCTGGTTCGTAGCCGCCCTTCATGCTCTACCTGAGTGACTTTAGTACTCCTGTTCTTTGCCTTCAGTCTCCGATTGTCACACTGCATTACCTGCAGGTGTTGGTAGCATCTACTCAAAGCATTCTCCAGGAGATTTTACTACTGACTGTTTGAAGTATGACAAATAGTCATGTTTCATAGTTTGTTTCCTTAGAAACAAAAACAAGAACAAAAAAACAAAACAAAACAAAACAAAATAACAAACAAAAAAAAAAAAACCAAGCGAAAAATCATCTAACTGTAGCATCTTCAATACAGTTTATTATGCCTCTCAGGATTCTAGAAAACTGGTGTCCAGTTCCCACGTAGGGCGCTCCACCATGCTTGGCAGGCCTGAATGTCTTGGCAAAGTTGCTCAGGTTGCTTGAAGCCACTGCTCTTTGTGGCTGAGGGTGTAGTTGGGGCAGTCATTTGCCAGTGTTGACACATGTCCTCCCCAGAGTGGCTCATTCCAAGAGGGAGTCTCAAGCCTACTCAAACAAAGCAAACTGTGATTAAAACTTTAGAAGAACACCAGAGTTTGTTTAGAGTTGGCTAACTACTCCCGGCATGGGCTTGCCCTGAGGAGTGGTAAGGTAGCCAGTGAGACTCCATTGGAGAAAACTGATTTGCCCTTTGTGAGCGGGTGTGGATTGCTGATAGCTTCTTGGTTGGGGTGGAGCTCGAGTTAACTTCGCACTGACTTGAGCCTGGGCAGGCTGGGCATGCTGCCATGGCCTCTGAGTTCACGTGTGTGTCAGTCCTGTTGCGCCTGGAAGAAAGGCACTGCTTCTTTGGAGTCCTCCTCCATCCCCTCTGCCTCTTGCAATCCTTCTGCCTCTCCTGCATAGATCCCTGAGCCCTGAGGGGAGAGATTTGATCTGAAGACATTCCATTCAGGACTGGATGAGCAGCAATGACTGTGGTTAAGCAAATATCTTTGGTAGAATGAAGTGGGCATTGTGTGTGTGTGCGTGCGTGCGTGCGTGCGTGCGTGCGTGCGTGCGTGTGTGTGCGCGCGCGCACAGGGGTATATGGCCAACAGTGGTATAGATGGGTCTGGAGGTAGATGGATTCCCAGTTTCCTGAGGAGCCTCCTCACCAATTTCCATAACAACTATACAAGTTTGCACTCCCGCCAGCAACAGATGAGTGTTTCCCTTACTCCAGCATGAAGGGTCCATTCTGACAGTTTTATTTCATCTCTCCTGTTCTGACAGGAGTAAGATGAAATCTCAGAGGAGTTTTGATTTGCATTTTCCTAATGGCTAAACGTTTTGAACATTTTTTAAAGTGTTTCTTGGCCATTTAAGTTTCCTCTTTTGAAACTTCTGTTTAGGTCAGCACCATAGTTTGAAATTGGGTTATTTGTCTTCTTGATATCCAGGTTTTTCAGTTCTTTCTATGTTTTGGCTATTAGTCCTCTATCAGACATATAGTTGGTAAAAATCTTTTTCCATTCTGCAGTCACCAGTTTATCTAAATGAGTGTGTCTTTTCCCCACAGAAACTTCTCATGGGGTCCCTTCCATTATTTGCTGATCTTAGTGTCGGTGTTAATGGTGTTCTGTCAGAAAGTTCCTGTGCCAGCGAGTTCAATGCTATTCCCACTCTCTCTTCTACCAGGTTCTGTGTGTCTGGTTTTATGTTGAAGCTTTGATTTATTTGGCTCTGAATTTTGTGCAGGTGATAAGTGCATTCTTGTGTGCCTTCTGTGTGTACCCCCCACCCCCACCCCGTTTAACCAGCAGCATGTGTTTAAGATGCTGCAGGAACATATATTTTTATAATATAAGGGATGATAATTGTCGTCTCTGGAATGAACATGTGTGACCCACTGTCTACCACTGCTCACATACCTGCCATATAAGAAAATACTCATCCTCCAAGGTGTCTGCCATCACTCCATTAAAATAGTGGTCCCGATTTTCCATCCTTACCATGTCTAACACAGCTCATTTATATGGTTTGGCAGCTGATCCTGGCTTATTTCTGCCTGTATCATTGTGAATTATGTTGCAATAATTTCACTCAATTATACCGTCATTGACAGTAGAAACTATTTGTACTATTAATAGTTCTTGTATCCCAAATAAAAATTAATAGTACAAAGTAATGGGATTGGGCTTCTTCCATTTTCATACACATAGTTCTTTAATTTACTGTGAGCACTGTGCCTGTGTCTTAATGTAGTGAATATTCATTATCAAGATTTATTAGGACAGATCTAGCTACTGATTGATGAGAGTAGTAAACTTCAGACAATAATATACATGGAACATGTACTGTGTTCCATGCCCTGGTGCAGCTTCCAGGGTGCCAGGGCACTTCCCGGTGACCTTAGTACAAATAAAGGGATAATC